ATGTTTCATTAGTGCTATACTGTACCCTGGCTGGCTTGTCCCTTTCTTGTGACCCTTCTGTGAGGGTATAGAATGCCTGGTGCATTCAATCAAGTGTAATGTAGCAGAGAGGAAGTACCGAGCCGAATGAAGGTCGAACATGATAGTGGGACAGGGGGAAAGTAAAAGGAAACAGGAAAGAACGAGGAGGCAAAAGACATTTATAGAGGTGTATAAAAGTACGCATGAAAAAAAAAAATGAAAAAAAACAGTATGCATGTACAGATGTAAATATATTAATATAATACAATAGGGATATAGGTAGTTTTCCTTACATTAGGTAGTAATCTATACTGAAGGCTACAATCCTTGATTTTCCTCAGCAAGTACTTCAGGTCCTCCTCACTTTAAGCAAATAAAGTTGTCATCTGCATATCTCTGGTTGTTAATAATCCTTCCTCCCATCCTGATGCCACATTCTTCAGAAAATCCAGTTTCTCTGATGATTTGCTCAGCATACAGATTGAGCAAGTGTGGTGAAGAGGCTACAACCCTGATGCACACCTTTCCTGACTTTAAACCATGCAGCATTCCCTTGTTGTCATAGACTCCTCTTGATCCATGTACAAGTTTCCCATGAGCACTATGAAGTGTTCTCAAATTTCCATTCTTCTCAAGGATATCCATAGTTTATTATAGTCCACACTGTAGTCAAATGCCTGCCAGTGGTCTGTCACTTGTTGTGCTGTGGTGGCTTGAGTGTTGCTGTTATGCTGGAATTTATGTCACTCATTGAAAATGCCAGCAGGGACAGCCAAAGTGAACAGGTTTCAGAGGGGCTTCCCAGACTGAAAACACACAGCCACCAAAGACTTGGCTGTCCACTTTGGAGGAAGATGCTGCTGAAAACCATAATCATAGTTTTGAAAAATTGTCAGATAGGAAGATCATGAGTAGATGAGTCACAATCCATCACCTAAAGGTTCTTCTGAGATTTAGTTCCTCTTTTGGCTTTTGGTAACAAAGTACATTTATGCAGTGTTTTGTACTTTCAGAAAAGCTACACATTTTCAAGGAAACTATGGTAGGACAAAATTTAACAGGATTTCCCCAAGATCATAGAGCTTGAGAAAAGAGAAACAAATCCATAGTTTTCTGATTATCTGCTTCCATAAAGAAAGCAGCCAAGGAAATCCTTGGCAGCAGTTTCTTTCTGTCACATGGTTTTCTATAAGTCCACGTCAACGTGATGACATCAGTTAAATACCACGTTACCTTCGGATCTTCTTCGAGTTGGTGCTCTTTTCTTACTCTATAAAATGAAGATTATAGTAGCTTACTTACTTGAAGAGTTTAAAATCTGTTAAGATTTACAGAATGTTAAACTCATAACTTGCTTCTAAGAGACATCTGCAAAATCTAACACAATGAACACAAGCTTAGAACACAATGTGGTCTTTAGGACAAGCATTCTCTTGACAGCTTTTATTATTTCTCCAGTTGGTGGTTGGTGCAGTGGGGATGCCATTTCCAGTGTGGAACGATACGATCCACAGACTAACGAATGGCGAATGGTGGCTTCCATGAGCAAGAGGCGGTGTGGAGTTGGGGTCAGTGTTCTTGATGACCTGTTATATGCTGTAGGAGGCCATGATGGATCCTCTTATCTTAATAGTGTTGAAAGGTAAGTAAGGAATTCACTTTTTTTTTCCTATTTTAGTTTTCATTTGGGATGTTGATTAGGACACATGTGACTGTTGCTGCTTTAGTGTTTTGTCTATGACACAAGTTAGCAGCCTAGACTAGTTAGCATGACAGAAGCCTTTTCTCATCTGATCACCACTAGTTTTCCAGTTTTTTTCCCATGGCACACTACTGTTCTCTAAACTTGCTACTGCAGGCCCACTAGAAGTACTTGGAATTACTTAGATACACCATCCTCTCATGACTCTTATCCTGCACACTTGCATGCTGTTTGTGTTTCCCTGTGGAATGTCAATACCTTTTGTATTCTCACTTATCCTTCAAAGGTCAAATGTAACTTTGTACATAAAACCTCTGACCATACAAATGAGACACTTCCTTAGTCTTCTCGTCTTTCCCAAGTATTTTTAGCATACTGTACATCACATTGTTGAAATGTCTTTTTCCGTAGAACCTATCATGCTGCTTGGGACATTGGAATACTCCGATAGCTGAGTTTTTAGTAACTTCTTGCTTCCTGCTCTCCTTTGTTCAGCTATGTGGGCTCTGACATGGTGATTCTTGGTATTTCCCAAACAGATCTATGAAACCATTTAGCATATCAAATCCTAGAGAGAGGTTTAACTTTTGTAACTGAAAGAAACACAGGAAACATTCCATCAATGTTTAAACACATACACTTAAAAAGTATTGATAGGTGAATTATGAAATAATAATAGATAGGACAGAATCTTTACAACTTAAGAACAATTAAACTATTATAATTAAGTGTGGAGATGCAACCTAGGTGATATGCAGAGATAAAGTTTATAAGAATTTGAATATGTGCACTCATTTAAAATTAAATGTAAAATAAATGACTCATGCTTTAAAATAATAAAATTTTGCACAAAAGAAAGTAATACATGCTATTTTAAGGGTGAACTTTGAGAACATATTGAGTAAAATAAATCAGACAAAGGACAAATACTATATGATTCCATGTATATTAACTGTCTGACATAGGAAATGTGTAGAAACAAAAGTTTATTAGAGACTGTGGGGCTAGAATAAAGGGTAAGAAGGAATTATTGCTTAAAAGGTATTGCTTAAAAGGTTTGTGCTGATAAAAAAGTTCTGGAAATGTAAAGCTGTAATTGTCACTCAACATTTTGAATGTATCAAATTAAGACTTAATGAAACTGAAAACAAATCAGAAGTACCGTATATATTCATGTATAAGCCAAGTTTTTTCAGCACATTTTTAATGCAGTTTTTGTGGTAAAATTAGGTGCCTGGGCTGATATTCAGGCTGGCTTATACTCGAGTATATATGGTAATATAGCTCCAAAATGAGCAGCTTCATAATATTTTTATATTAAAAATTAACATACTCTGACCCAGCAATCCTACTTTTCATCTATTTGCATAAGGAAAATGCAAAGATAATCACTTTTTTAAAAAAACAGATAATTGTTATATACCTTAATGCATCAGGCCTGTGTGATCATGAGGTGTCGATGAGATCAGGTATCAGTCATCAAAGACTTAGAACAAAAAATTATATCAATGTGAATGAGGGAGAGGGTGGAGTTGAGACCCAAAACCCATGGACAATTGGATGTCCCCTTACAGAACGGTCACAAGGAAGAGACGAGCCAATCAGGGTGCAGTATAGCACAGACAAAACATACAACTTTCCTCTAGTTCTTTAATGCTTCCTCCCCACCATGTTTATGCCCCCAATTCTACCTTACTATCTGGCTAGACCAGAGCATGTACACTAGTAGACAGAAAAGAGCTCAAAACAGGGAATTCAGGACAGATAAACCCCTTAGGACTAATAATGAGAGTAGTGCTACCAGGAGGATAAGAAGAAGGTGGGGATGAGAAGGGGGAACTGATCACAATGATTGACATATAACCTCCTCCCAAGAGAACAAATAACAGAAAAGTGGGTGAAGAGAGACAGCAGTCGTTGTAAGACATGAAAAAAATAATAATTTATAAATTATCAAGGGTTTATACGGGGGAAAATGAGCTCATACCAAGGGCTCAAATAGGAAGAAAATGTTTTGAAAATGGTGATGGAAACATGTAGAAATGTGCTTGACATAATAGATGTATGTATGGATTGTGAATAAAAGCTGTAAGGGCCCCTAATAAAGAATTTTTAAAAATACATAAGGAAATTGTTACATAATATATAGCTTGCATAATATAATTAAATATTTCATGAGAGCACTTCAAAAGTTCATAGAGAAATTCCATTATCTTTTTTTTTAATAATTCCATTATCTTTGAATTATATTTTTCCATAGAAATTTTGAAGCTATCTTATATAGTAATTCAGAGAAACCATCTGGAACTATGTTAGCATGAATAGATCTCAGAAATATATTGAAGGAAATTTTTGGAATAATGCCTACAATTGTATTATTTTGTAAAGAAAAAATATATAATACATATGAGTATAGTATATACCTATTTTAAAAGTATTTTCTGAGAAAGTCTGAAAAGATATGTACTGAATCAAAATGGGAAGAGGTTACAATTAGGGTAGAATGTAAAGGGGGCCTTTACTTTTATCTATAATATTGTTTTATTTAAAGAAAATATATGTATATGTAACTTGCTTAAGTAGAGGCCAAAAAAAAGATACATAAATAAACCTTCTTATGCCTTAGTTATAATCAATCAGTAGTTAAAGGAAATAATTTATATCATAGAAATGTTTTTGTACTTAATATTTGAATACAGCCTGGCTTTCTCTGTGTAATACAAACTCTGTTCTTCATGTGTCCCTTGCAGATATGACCCCAAAACCAACCAGTGGAGCAGCGATGTGGCCCCAACAAGCACCTGCAGGACCAGTGTGGGTGTGGCAGTGCTCGGAGGCTTTCTCTATGCAGTGGGTGGCCAGGATGGTGTATCTTGCCTCAACATTGTTGAGAGGTGATTATCTTAAAGTCTTTTTCATTCCCCCCCACCTTTTATTTTAAACAATATAGAGTGCTCTTTAAAAGAAACAATTATAGTTGAATTGGGGGACACGAGAATATTCACTGTTTCCTATTGAATTTAAGGGAATAAATTCTAAGTTGATCGGGAAGTATAATAAAATGATGCAAGATATAATTCAGTTTTTAAATCATGTGTAATACTAATTGCTCCTATCATTGAAATGTTGGAAACATTTTAAATTGCATTGTATGAAATTCTATATGTGATATTCATTCTGATTCTACCCGGAGTATATTTAATGCAGACTTTACTCAGACCATCTTTAGAGATATTATTAAAATATTAATATTTTGCCTTGTATATATTCTAGAGTTGAAGGTACTTCATAAAAACTATGTCAGTTTCCTTTTATCTCTCAATCAAGCTACCTCCTCTACTTTTAAAACCATGCAGCATACTTAATAGGTTAGCTCTTATCCAAAAAACAGAAAATAACAAGTATTGGCAAGACTGTGAAGAAATCAGAATCTGTGCATGGCTGGTGAAAATGTAAAATTGTGCAGCTTTTTCCAAAAACACTTTTATGGTTCTTCAAAAAGCAAAACCTAGAATTTTTACATGACTCCATTCCTACATATATATACCCCAGTGAACTGAAAGCAAGAGTCAAAGTGATACTACTACACCAATCTTTATTGAGCATTATTTACAATAGCCAAAAGGTGGTAGCAATCCCCAGTGTTTACTAACAAATGAAAAGACAAAGAAACTGATCGTTTATCCATATATTGGAATAGTAGACAGCCGTAAATGAAGTTCTGGCACATGCTACAACATGGATGAACCTTGAACGCATTGTGCTGAGTAAAATAGGCACTAAAGGACAAATACGATAAAATCCCACTTACGTGAACTACCGAAAATAGGCATGGAGACAAAGTATGGAGACAAAGTTTATTAACAGATTCTAGGGACTCAAGGGAGGATGGAAAGTAATTGCTAATGAGGTATTGAGTTTGTTTAGAGCAGCGGTTCTCAACCTGTCGGTCATGACGCCTTTGGGGGTCAAAGAACCCTTTCACAAGGGTCACCTAAGACCATCAAAAAACACATATTTCAGATGGTTGGGGTCACCACAACATGAGGAACTGTATTAAAGACTTGCAGCATTAGGAAAGGTGAGAACCACTGGTTTAGAGTAAAGAAAATCTTTTGGAAATAGTGATGATAGTTGCACAGCATGGGGAATGTAATTAATGTCAGTGACTTATACAGTTAAAATGACAGAATATTTAAAATAGAGTCTTTGTTATCTAAGTAGGCACCTTGGTGGCATAATGGGTTCCATGTTGGGCAGGTAACTCTAAGGCCAACGGTTCGAAATCACCAGCTGTTCTGTGGGAGAAAGATAAGGTTTTCTACTCCTGTAAATCAGTGGTTCTCAACCTTCCTAATGCCACAACCCTTGAATACAGTTCCTTATGTGGTGGTGACCCCCAACCATAAAATTATTTTCGTTGCTACTTCATAACTGGAATTTTGCTACTGTGATGAATCGGGCGACCCCTGTGGAAGGTTGAGAGCCACTGCTGTAGATAGTTACAGTCCTGGACCCTCAGAGAGAGTTCTGCTCCGTCCTGTCATCTTACCATAGAGTCAGATTCACCTGCATGGCAGTGAGTTTTGTGTTATTTAGTGCTGCAATAACAAATACCACAAGTAAGTGGTTTTAATAAACAGAATTATTGCAGAGCAAGGAAGTCCTGAGGGAGTTCCAAAAATAGACTTTGGGGCCAGGGAGTGGCACCCCATCAGACTCAACTGGGAAAACACTTCTAAAGGTCAACAAACTTTGAACTATTTACAGGCTTTTCTTTGTTTTTGTTTTTTGTTGTTGTTTTGTCTTCTGTTGCTTTGTTTTGCTCTGTCTTGTTTTTTGTGTGTATTGTTATCTCTGCAGGTCTATCTAGATAAGATAGGCGGGCTAAACAATCTGGAGGAGAAAACAACGGACAGATGGTGATGGTTCCTGGGGGAGGAGGGGGGAAGTGTTGTTAACAAACACAGGAACAAGGAGACAACAAGTGATCCAAAATCAGTGGCATAGAGGGTGTAAGAGGCCTGGTAGGGATTGATCAAGGACAATGTAAACGAGAGGATTTACTGAAATCCAAATGGAGGCTGAACATGATAATGGGAGAAGAGGAAAGCAGAAGGAAATAGAGGAAAGAACTAGGAGGCAAAGGGCATTACTAGAGATCTAAATATGTAGGCATGTACACATGTAAATATATTTATATATGATGATGGGGAAATAGATCTATGTATATATATTTATAGGTTTAATATTAAGGTAGCAGATGGACATTGGGCCTCCATTCAAGTACTCCCTCAATGCAAGAATACTTTCTTCTATTACACTGGCATTCCATGATGCTCACCTCCACATACAATCGCTGAAGACAAAGCGGGTGCATAAGCAAATGTGGTGAAGAAAGCCGATGGTGGCCAGCTATCAAAAAATACAGCAGGTCTTAAAGACTTGGAGATAAACAAGTGGCCATCTAGCTCAGAAGCAACAAAGCCCACATGGAAGAAGCACACCATCCTGTGTGATCTCAAGGTGTCGATGGGATCAGGTATCAGGCATCAAAGAACAAAAAATCATCATTGTGAAAGAGGGGGAGTACAGAGTGGAGACCCAAAGCCCATCTGTAGGCAACTGGACATCCCTTTACAGAAGGATCACAGGGAGGAGACAAGCCAGTCAGGATGGCAGTATAGCACCAAGGAAACATACAACTTTTCTCTAGTTCTTTAATGCTTCCTCCCCTCAGTATTATGATCCCAATTCTACCTTACAAATCTGGCTAGACCAGAGGATTTACACTGGTACAGATCAGAGCTGGAAACACAGATGATCCCTTCAGGACCAGTGCCAAGAGTGGCGATACCCAGAGGGTGGAGGGAAGGTGGGATACAAAGGGGGAACCAATCACAAGGATCTACATATAAGCCCTTCCCTGGGGGACGGACAACAGAAAAGTGGATGAAGGGAGACATCGGACAGTTTAAGACATGACAAAATAATAATTTATAAATTATCGAGGGTTCATAGTGGGGCGGGGAGCGGAGAGGGAGGGAAAAATGAGCTAATACCAAGGGCTGAAGTAGAAAGCAAATGTTTTGAGAATGGTGAGGGCAACAAATGTATAAATGTGCTTAACACAATAGATGGATGTATGGATTGTGATAAGAGTTGCACAAGCACCCAATAAAATGATTAAAAAATAATAATAAACAGAAGTATTTTCTCACAGTGTAGGAGTTTGAATTCAGGAGACCAGCTCTAGGGGAAGACTCTCTTTGTTGATTCTGACTTCTTCCTACTTGAGCCCTTGGTATCAGCCTCTCATTTTTACCCTCCCTCCCCCATCCTCCTTCCCTCATGAACCCTTGATAATTTATAAAAATTTTTTTTTCATGTCTTACACTGACCAGTGTTTCCCTTCACCCACTTTTCTGTTGTCCGTCCCCCTGGGAGGGGGTTATATGTAAATCATTGTGACGGGTTCCCCCTTTTCCCCCTGACTTTCCCCTTCCCCTCCTGATATTGCTACTCTCAATATTGGTTCTGAGGGGTTTATCTGTCCTGGATTCCCTGTGTACAACACTTCTTTTTAAGCAACACAGTTCAATCTATAATATATTTCACCACAATAATTGAAGGGGGAAAAAAGACAACTCTGCAGAAAGATTCTAGGGAAACAGCAGTAGTGACAGAATTTTGAAAAAACAACTATTCTGAATTAGGTGGGAATTTATATATCAGATCATCGTAACAGTGGTTTTAAAAATCCATTCACATCACGAAATGTTTACAGTTGCATCATTATTCTTTAGTAATATCCCATTGGGTATATGTACCAATAGCTTCCACCAGGAAGGGAAAAAACCTCAGGCAAAACGAGAGAGGGAAGCCCTGAGCTCTAAACATGGCTCACTGCTTGTAGATTTTCCAACATGATTGCAGAAACAAAGGGAACGGAATAATAACCAGAGAAAAGTGACTGTGACCCCTGGTTGGTAGATTGATTAGTTCAAGATATCTCACCCAAATAATGGTTCCCGCTTTATGTTCTCGAATGAGAGATTGAATGTTGAGAAATGAGATAAAGATAGAACTTTAGTGTCCCAATTAAGCCAAGACCAAAGACTGCTTACCTAAGAGTTTCTTAGAGAAAGTAGTTCAGCCAAAAAATGTGAAATATAAGTGGGCTTCAAGAAGTTTGTGGGGAAAAGAGAATTAAAAAATAATGGAATTTTCAAAGGTACCCTGGTGGTATACTGAGTTAAACGTTGGACTGCTAACCATAAGGCCAGTGGATCAAACCCACTGCTTGCTTCTTGAGAGAAAGACGAGGCTGTCTGCTCTTGTAAAGCGTCATGGAAACCCAAGAAACAGCTCAGCTCTGCCATGTAGGGTTGCTCTGAAGTGGAATAGGTTCAGTGGCAATGTTGCTGGGTGGGATTATTTCAGGAACTTTTTGCAGCCTCCTCATACTGTAAAAAAACAGAAAAAAAGTTAATACCTCCAAAATTTCAATACCCAAATGAAAAAATCCCAAGAACAGAAAGGATAACCCATTCAAATGAATATAACAAAGTTAATACATTGCAGTGAATTACTTAATAGGGCTCTTCTAGCCATTGTCTCTGTAGCACCAAATGACCTTTTCCTGAGATACTCGTAGGATTCAGTTGTGAGTGCTTGTTTACAAGATTCATTGTTATTGCCATCCTGTTGGGCATAAAATGAGCTGAAGCAGAAGTGGGGGATCTCATTACTAGGAAAAGCCAAGAGTGGAGTCTCTCCTCTGGACTTTGGGATCCCTTTGCAGTCAAGCTCCTTGATCCAGGTGGATAGCTTTGACATTAGAGGAGTGACCAGAGCAGCTGCAGAATCAGGAGCCAGCGCATAAGAAGAGCAGTA